AAGTTTCGTCATAACACTACATTATCTGCTATCTGTAGCGGTCGACAAAGTAAAATTGGGGACACCTTATTTCCTCGGCTGGCTTGCAAAACACGTTCACGCTTCCCACCTATCCCCACATCTCAACGCTTATAGATAGTATCTGTTACACCTATTAAAAATAGTCGGTAGAAAATATAGAATCACCAGTTAAGTTACATTGCTGCTTTTATATACTTTAGAGTTGAAATCCCGCTTTAGCAACCTGGCATGTAGAGTACAGAAGTTGTAAATATCGTAACTGATGGTTGTTCTGTTGGTGTCGAGATGTGGGATCAGGTGGGCGCCGTCTTCACGCCGCCACCGCCGATAACACGCTAATGCCCTCAACTTTGCACCGCAACGGGCGGCGGGTGGAGACCAGGAGTTAGGGTATGGGTATCAAAGGGAGGTCCACTCGTGGAGGAAAAACGAGAAAAGCAAGATCATTCGTGTTATAGAACGCAGACAACTTTATCATGTTGCACACGCGTGCACTTTTACAGTTATTTAAAGTTTTAGAAAAATTTAAGCTGACAATTTTGTTTTCTTAATATTACAGAAAACATTTGTAGAATAACATATGGTTTGAAACAATTTAATTTTTCAAATTTAAAATAACGTTTATGTATGTTTTTAGTAATTTGTTCAATTGTTTCCTATTTTTATGAACACCGTACTTTTTACCTGCAATTAATGTCGATCGAGCAATGAATTATGTCCTACCATTAAATGTTGTCAATATCGCCTGTGCCATATGTGCCAAAGCGACACCTAGACTGTGAATACATGGCAATAAATAAAAATGTTCAATTCCATTAGCGCGCCGTCCTGATAATGTGCCCACCTTAGCACGGAGGACCGGCGAACTTACCCTTACGCATTGTTTTAGCGTAACGCGCGCGTTTGCGTTAATATTTCATAACTTGCGATTGGTATGTTTCGCGTAAACGTCGGCCCTCCGATTTGCTCCGGTAGCGACTAGCGAGGTAGAAGTACATATATTTGCGGCAATAAACGTGAATTTATTGCCCTGTTACGTTTGCAGTTTTACTGAAATGTGGAGAAGTGTGCGCTCGGAACAGCGACATTAGCGCCGACTGGTCCTCCCGCCGCGCCGCCCTCCGGTGTTTGCACCCGTCGTATGAATGTGCGGGAATTTTGCTTTGTTTTCTACAATTGTGGGAGGCATATAATAAAAAAGTTAATTTACAAAATGTTCAAACGTCTTAATTTCTTTTTTCTTATGCTGATGTTAAATACTAGATAAGTTAGATGCTTATCCAAAAATTGCTGCAGAAATTTCCTGTTTGAGTAAATCGCAAGAGTGAAAACGAGAAATCGTATTATCAACATTTTCCAGAAAATTCTTACCATTCATAATGAAATTGTATTTGTTAGACCTCAAGTGATTGAGCGGAAGTCACGTTGTAGGTAAAACGACGCGAACAGTCTGTCGTCGCGACATCAGGGTAAGGAGTGCGAATGTTCACGGGAGAAGGAGGCATAAAGATGCAGGGCACGTCGCGCGACTCGGGATCCGCAGTTAAAAGGGGATTATGGGCCGAGTGGCCAATAACACGGCATTACAAGCGATACGCCCCGCTTGGCCAAGTAACCCTGTCGATAATCCACGTAGAATGAGCCTTTGTTTTGGTTTCGTACCTACAGTTACCAAACTATTCACTTTTCGTACGAATAAAACCTTTAATTCGGCACTGCCTGTCACTAGACGGAAGATCTATAAATATTACGCATTATCAATACCTTATTTGAATGCCTGTCACTAACAACGGCATTGCTGCCAATAAAAGTAAATGTAAATAAATAAACCTATAATTGGGCTCTGCCAGTTAGTAGATAGAAGTTTAGCAAATATTACGCATTATCAATATTTAATTTATAATAATGTGTAGTTATGTCACTATCAACGGCCTTACAAGACATACAAAAGTAAGTAAGTAAATGTAAAGAAGTAGTAAGCAGTAGAGCTCCTTGTGAAAGAGTTCGTCCAGGGTAGTACTGCCAACTTACCTATTTCTGCCGCGAAGCAGTAATGTCAGCATTATTGTATTCCGGTTTTGAAGGGTAAGGGTGCTGGTGAAATTGCAGGTACATTGGACTTGTCTCAGGGTGACGGGCGCAGTGACAGTGCCCCTCAGATCTTTGCGATTTGCGTTGAAAGCTCTGAGTGGCACTGCAACTGTTATGTACAGGCATAACCTTACCATCAGGCGCACGACTTACTCGTCCCGTCACTTGATATGATACAAAAATAACTTATATAATTGATAAAGTTAGATAAAGTTCGGATTAACTCAAAGAAAAATTCCTTCGATTCTGTATCGACTCGAAACAATTAAGGAACTTTTCTTTGAGTTTGTTCGATCTTTCTATAAATTATTGCAACAAATTAGTGGAGTACTTTCACAAAAATATATAAATAAACATTGCAAGTAAACTTATAATTGGCCACTGCCAGTCACTCGACGGAAGTTCAATAAATGTTACGCATAATCAATATCTAATTTTTATGTATGTCACTATCAATGGCGTTACTACCAATAAAAGTAAATGAAAAACTCAGTCGCACGTTAAATTCAATCAGAGTTCATCGTCATCCCACCAATTTCTCGATTGGAAACAGTTTTACAAGCAATAAATTCTTGCAACCCGCGTCACTGGTACAACATTTATTAGCTACAATCCAGATTAGATTAGCGTTGCATCCCTCCGGTGCCCTGGGGACGAGAAATTTGTCCCAGTAATGTGGCCACGCGCCGAACTAATTCGATGGAGTCGGACCCTTCCTCTATCTATGTGACTCGAATGTCGCCCGCCACTGTTTCATTTTAATTGAATAGTTAGCGTGGGGCGCTCGCCGTTGTTTTCCTAAAGATAACTTTATAGCCGCTTTGCATAATTGCCGGCCGTGTCGCTCTAATTTGTAACAATTTCGCAATCTGTCACACTTGTCTCCGAGCTATATAAATCAATGTACGAAGTGAGTACTAAGTATGTTAGTACTTACTGGTTGTTTTATTATACCTACCACTTGTGCATTTCGGTATCGTTATGGCAAGATATATAGATAGATATACATTTATTGCTCACACACAAGAACAAAAACAGTACCTACATAAACAACTTTTTTTATATTACCAAGTGACGGTATGGACAAGTCGAGCGCCTGGTGGTAAGCAACATGCCTATGCATAACAGTTGCAGTGTCATTCAGAGCTTTAAATCGCAAAGATCTTAGGGGCATTGCCATTGCGCCCGTCACCTTGAGGCATAAGTTGGCAAGTGTTTGTAATTTCAACAGCACACTTACCCTTCCAAACCGGAACACAGTAATGCTCATCTTACTACTTGGTGGCAGAAATAGGTAAGGTGGCAGTACTTCCCTGGACGAACTCTTTCACAAGGAGCTCTACTGCAACTATAACTATGACTAATATGGGCAAAGGCAGCCTTGTAACAAGAACGATCTTTTCCAGAGAACTTTTTAGATAGAGGAAAACTAATTAGAGCGGGAGATGTAGTGTGTCAATGTGTAAATAAAAATAAATTACATATATGAAAACTTACATTATATTTTAACAAATAATAAATAACGATATAGTATACCTACATATGTATTTGTACATATAAATATACCTAAATAAACTTATACTTACTTACTAATAAATATGTACACGTTGTAGACTAGGACCGTGTCAGAAGATGTTTACGTAATTCAGTTTTGAAAATATGAAGCTTAGAATGTCGGATTTCAGATGGGGGTTCATTGCATAATTGCAACTAACTAATTTCATTAACAAAACATTGAAAAAAAAAATTGAATCATTAATTCCTACAGGTCATGAATACCTATGGATAGCCAATTGAATATAACAAATCGATACCAGCAATTAACACTACGCTAACTTAAAAATTGCTACTTTTCGTTTGCGCTAACCTTTTAATTTTCAAACACATATTAATGATTTATTTACTACAAGTTATAAAATATATGATTATTTTTTCTTAATTATGTTTTTTAATTTAAATTGCCCGCATAATTTAGCATTAAAAAACGCAAAATTGGCCAAATTCGAGTTAACGAATTGTTAATTGCTGGTATTGAAATAATGTTGCACGTATTCAGCAAACTTTGAATCTATAATGTAGAGCTATTACATCATTCGAATTAGTAGTATAATTTTAAACGAATATACATCAGAAAGAAAACATAAATGACTATCGAGATCGGCTCTATTTTTCTCGCGGTGTGTTTTATAAAATGCGACGTGTAACGCCATCTAGCGATGAATAGACAAACGAGACGCAGACCGGTTTCCCGATGTTACGAACAAGGTAGTATGTTCAGTGCATAGTGCTACTTATTATAATTAGAAAAATGGTCGTAATTGTAATTTTATAATAACACATTTTTTTAAACTTTTACCTAACGTCATAAACTTATAATTCTGTAGTATTGGGTAAAAATTGTGAGAGAGTAATTTAGGCGTTAATCTCATGAAACAAGATTTTTGTAATATTATAATATGTAGAATTGGCTACTAAGATCGTCAATGAGATAATTAGACATGCATAATAACGAAATTATGTATATTTTTATCTGAAAGGCGAGCAGTAGAAGCTTTTAATAAAATGTACCTTTATTTTGTATTTTTAAATAGATAGTTACTTACTAACTTTGGAATAATGCATTTTATTTCATATGCAATTTATTTCAGTGTATAGTCAAGTTAGACATAGATAACTTCTCATTATCTATTTTACTTTATTATGTATAAGTTTTCCAATTGAGGAACTTATTTTTCTTTCATTTTAGGTATAATACGGCTTTATACGGCTTTGTTTTAGGGTATTGAAACAAAAAATATATTAACAAACATTTAATTTTATATTTTAGCAATATATTATTTGTAATGATAACTATAATTTAACTACAATGTAACTGTGTAGGTACATATAACGTGTCCACTTTAAACTTACACGTGTTGGAATTTATGGAAACACAGACAGCAATTAATATAATTTCTACAATTAATGCTCTATTCTTAATAATACCCTACGTTCTATAAAACAATTTATGCTTTTCTGATGTATTGCACACATACCTAATTACACAGAAATCAGGTGCGACCAAAATGGTAAAACTCAACGTACTCTGACAGTGTTTATAATAGCTACGAAATAAAATTTTGATACTTAGACTTTTGAGGCCAGTGTATAATATTCTACATTACTAGAACTACAACATGGATTTAGTGTAAACCATCACTACGAGACAAAAACTATTAGGAACATATAACAATTAAATTACAAGTTTAAATTATATTTTATACTATATTACTATACAATATTTTACAAGACAGGCGTAGTATTGTCGAGTCTAGACAAATTATACTATGTGTTTCCACGGTCAAAGCCCAAAAAGGTATAATTTTCTGTCAGATACAAAGTAATCGTCTGTCGGTTAACCATTTCATTTCAGAAAACAAATTACAGTCCTCTTTACTAAAATCAACGATACTGCTCCATCATCGCAATAGTCGTCTCGGTATTCACGCACTTCAAATCTTCTTTTTATATTTTCTCGCAAAATATTCCATATACAGAATCTTATATCGCATATACAGAGATCTCGGGGAGGTTTTTATTTGCTGTTTTATCACTAAGTCGGGCTGTGAGGCGGGTGGGGTGTATGCGGAGGGTGTGGGGGCAGAGGCACCGGGTGCGGGCTAGCATCACGGAGTGAGTCCGGAGAGGAACCAGGCGAGGAGCGCCGTGGCGGGTACGGTGAGAACCGGTGCTGCGCCAGCGCGCCGGCCGCAGCAGCGCCTGCTGGCATGCCGCCCGGGTACACAGGCCGGGGCAGTTGAAGTCCTGACCCCGACGCCGACGCCGCGAGATGTTGCTGTGCCAGCAATTGCGGTGCTAAGCAAGCCCATTGCCCCCACAAAGCGGCAGCTGGGACTCCATACAAAGGATACGCAGCCCGCAAAAATAGCTGCGAACGCGCGGCGAGTATGGCTTTTTCTTCAAGTGTCAAGTTGTTGTTGTGTTGGTCCAAATCGAACGGCCGCAACGGTGACCGCAGGTAATGTTGCTCAGCGAGCATTGACTCCATTGTTTCCCTGAAACATAAAAGATTGGACGTTAGACAACGTTCTGTCAGCGTTATAATTTTAGGAGCTTATTAATGATTGCATGGGTACCTATGATTGGCAGCGCTGAAGCGCGCGTCATCGGGAAAGACGGTTGTTCTATCATGCTCCCCCGTGATATAGAATCTCGACAAAGAAAAATTTCAAAATAAAACACTTGAATGACATGACTTAATCCAAAACATTTTTTATTTTAATATATTTTACGTCTTGAAAAACACTAATCTTCTAATGTGTTGATGAATGTTCAGTGAAATCGGACAATCACGAATGCTCTTACGTTTCACTAAATTAATTCAAATGATAAGAAAAAATGAATACATCATTGAATATCGAGAGTTAACATTATCTACAAATTACTAGTCCGCCTGTATTTTTTATTTGTTTCTGAAAGCGTGTCCAACTGGCGACCACACCGAACAGAAATCTCTAAAATATATCACATTTGTGACGGTAACAAATCATTGGCGAAATTGTATCTTTAAAGCAATTTAAGCATTACAAAAAATACATTAGTATTTGTCCATAATGTACATTTTAATGAAACATAAACAAACTCAAAAAGAAAATTAAAGTTAATAGTTAGTTACCTTTCGAATTCGGTGAGACGCGAAGAATCACGGAACCCTTTGGCAAATGGATTACTGTCGATTTTCAACTTCGTAATCTGAAACAAAAGACAATCCGAGTTTTTTTATTTGCGTACATAATTTCAAAACGCTGAGTTTATAGATTATATATTCCAATTTGCATAAATATAATTATGTCTTCTTGTAGTAAATAAACTAAACTTAAATCAATTAACGATAGTATGGACACAGAATCAATTAGACACATTATGGTACTGAGAACATGATCAGTGATTACCATAACTGCTTGTTCATAGTAGGCGAGTGTGTTTGAATTTTCAAACGTGTAAAGTAGCATGTGGTCAAGACGACAGGTTGGGTAGCGTGTTGTGAACCGGGTATAGCGCGCTGCGAGACAGCCACCACCCGCGGTGTTGCGTACCAGCTCTAATAAGGTTAACTTATTGACGACATTCCACATCTATTCATCATTTTAGTCGAGTATCATGCTTTTACGAAGTTAGAAATTTATTCATAATCGACAGAGTTTAATGCGAATAGATAAATAAAACTTTTGCCTAGATATAAAATTAGAATTTAAAAAGTGTGCACAAAAATTAACTTACGAACGAACTTTTTTTTGGTTTTGCATTGTTTTTTTAGTTTGTTACTTCATATTTTTCCCCTTTTGTTTCTTTTTTAATTTTTTTTCTAAAGTTTGCACTTTGCAATCTTCACAGTTTTAATAAAAGAAATATAAATTAAGACTTCCCATTTTTATAAGGGACGCTGTAAAAATTAATCTTGGTGGTGTTAAAAACGTAACAACGGTCTTGAGGTTTATTTAAAATACTGAGTCGATGAACTCATAAAGCAAAATATTTGATTTAAGTACAGTCTGAGAGGTGTTAAAAAATGTGTTTGGCAGCAGAGGCAGCACGGTTGAGAAATCGCCCCCTCGCTGAGTGGCGCTCCCGCTGGGGCTCCACACAATTTGTGACTAATATTTACGACAAAGCCATCCACGGAAACCAGTCACCATTTAAATCGCCTCGCCTAATAACCCATCGGATTAAACCAATATTAGTATTAATTTTAGCATATATTCGTGGCAGTTTTATGTGTGTGAGGTGAGAAAATACGTAGTTTTTAATGATTCGTAATAAACAAGTCATCGCGGTATGGTCGCGCGTCAATCTTTCAACAGATATAGTTGGCACGGTAATTACCCGCCGATAGAACGCACTTTTACCTGGTTGGCATGTGGGAGTGCTTTCTTTTGTTATTTGCACGTTATTTTGACGAGTTCGCACTATGAGCTGAATTTTAGGCCATACACGTTGTATAAAAAAAGTCGACTTAGATTTTCAACACGTTCTAAAAAAATCTAAAAAAATCTATCTAAAAAAGTTACTGTTTAACTAATATTAGGTACTCTTAGCAGTGAATCGAGAAAAAAAATCAGAATTAATTTTATTTTAGTAGCGCTTGACATTCCTTTGTCGCGACAATTAACTTCTTAATTATTGTTTAAGATATTTATGTAACTGTTTGAAGTGGTGCAGCCGGAGCGCGTTAATCTTTGAAACGTCTTGATAAATGTTCCCTAGTCGGAACAATGGATCAAAGAAGAAAGATAAACAGTACAAAATATTGACCACTCCGTGACAAGTCTTCGGTTCTGCGATGAGTAATTTCACGAACAGCGTGTCACTTGTAGACTAATGATTTCAAAAATAGTCACCGGTACCAAGAGTCATGTATTCCTTGTGGCCACTTGTGACTCGTAAAACGTAGTTTCTATAAATATGTTAATTTTCAAACTAAAGAGTCCTGTCACAGAAGTGATTGAAAATGAATGAGTGTATTGTCAGTGACGGTTTGAATAGTGTTTTCGTGGTGGAAAAATGTAATGAGATCTGTGCTAACATGGTACGGGTGGGTATCGGAGAGCGAGTGCGGGAGGACAGAATTGCTTCCGATGCGTCGCGTGGCACAACTCGGAGGTGTCGAGGGTCACCAGCGAGTCGGTTACAACTACTTCGACTTGCACACCCACCTGGCGAGCGCCATTGACTACAATAGCCGTGATCTCACGTCGCACTTGTGCCTGACGTAATGATTGCGCTTATAATGCGAGTAGTAGCTGACGATATTGACGTATTGTAAGTACCTACACTATGTATGCTTCGCTGCGCTGTTGCTTGTCTCGAATTTGTTTTAAACATTCATATCTTGTAAAACAATGGGCCGTAATTCAGAATCAATTGAAGCCGGCATCTGCTAATAGAACTTGCATGTTGCTAACAATACAAATATAACACAAGCTGAAAATATATCACTGGGAGCGCGCGGAGGTAATGAATGGGACACTTTCTCGCTACCGACGTTTATTAGATTTAGTACAAACATAAGAATGAGGCGTGTCAAAACAACCTAATTTAAGTATCAACAAACGTTCGCCTTGGGCGGCGGGCCGCTCCGCTTACTGACAACATTAAAGGCGCCATAATGACATTATTCCCGGTCGGGAAACAAAAAATCTCACAAAAAGGCGTCAAGGAGAGAGATGAGCGTCGCGCCACCGCCGCCGCGCCCGCCGCCGTCGCGCGCGCTGCAAACGACGCTCTAATTATTGGGGTGGTGATATATTGTTTATGGAAGTAGATACTGCTATACTTTGATAAGTTTGTGAAGATTTCAAAAACGAGGTACAGTGTAGATATCCTGCAAGTGCGATTAAAATATAACATATACAACTAAAGATGTACGACAGTTTTCTTCTAATTTCTAACAGAAGTTTCAATTTCAGTAATTTAAATTGATTTTCACAGTATATGAATAAGAAAAAATAAACTAATGCGCTCTCCGGGAGCATGAATAAAGCGAACAGTCACCGTTAGACACGAATACACGACAGAAACACTCGAAGGAATAAATAAATGTCACGTTGGCGGCCCTCCTTCCTGCATATCTTAATGATTGACATATGAAGCAGGGCTATATTGTACTATGCTCATGGTTTACGGAACACACTACATAATTAAATGTAACGGAAGCTACTTATTTAACGACCTCCGTGATCGAGTGGCTGGCGCACCGGTTTTCATGGTGTCGCCATCTCTGAGGTCCCGGGTTCGATCCCCTGCCGGGTCAATGTAGAAAATATTTTTTCTATATTGTCTCGGATCTGGGTGTTTGTGGTACCGTCGTTGTTTCGGATTTTCATAACACAAGTTCTTTAGTTACTAACTTTGGGGTCAGAGCAACGTATGTGATGTCTAAAATTTATTTGCCTAAAAATAGTGTAATAGTATATTATCGCACATTACGCGCCTTTAGTGTGATAAGGGACATCTTTTCTTTAATGATATCAAGTGATAGGACGAACAAGCCATGCACGTGATGTTAAGCTACGCTTGTCCATAACAGTTCCTGTGCCACTCACAGCTTTAAATTGCAAAGATTTGAGGGGCACTGCCACAGCGCCCGTCACCCTGAGTTATAAGTATATAAGTCTCATGTGCCTGTAATTTCACCACGACCCTTGAAAACCGGAACACAGTAATGCCGACATTACTGCTTGGCGGCACAAATAGGCAAGGTGGCTTTACTTCCCTGGACGAACTGTTTCACAAGGAGCTCTACTGCTACTAAAAAATTATTTGCAAAATGACAACTTTTCAGTAGCGAGGTTTAAACATTCTACGAACGAAATTTTTGAAATTTCGATAACATTTTTACGCTTAATAGGACAGTTATTAAATGTCACATATGTACATAATACATAGTTAGTATTGTTTTTATGACTTTTAAATGATAAAATCATTTTTGAGATATGATCACATGTGACTTTATTATACCAAGGATAAGATAATTTTTTACCTATATGTATATCCCCGTAGTAAATTATAAGTAGAAATTAATTTCCTAGGTGCTAAATACACATAAATGGTACAAAACAGTACTCATCAATGAGTAAGTGGCTCTCAACAATTTTGAAACGACCTACAGCTGTGTGGATATTCCAGAAACCAATAGTTTATCGTCAATAATTCGCCAGTGGGCCGAAGTAACATGCACCACATGCAGCGTTGGTCACATTTGCTCACATGATAACGTGACCCAAAATAAATTAACTCTTCGCAGAATTTCAAGAATAAACTTAGTTTTTTTTAATTGAAATGTGACAAAATAAATTGGACAGCTTATGTTCGCACTCAACGGAAGTGAATAATTTAAATGCCCAAGAAATCTACTGAATATGAATTTTCGAAATAAACATGATTTTTCGGTCGCAGATTTTGACAATTCAATGAGATATTAATTCCATTAAAGTTGTATTCGAACAAATAACTTTACAAATTATAAAATAGGTCTGATTCGGTAAAATTTAGATTTTGTATTTATTCTTCTTCATCTAACAGTTCGATCAGCTGAAGGCTTTCTCTGATACTGCCCACAGACACAACGAAGGATATAAAATGAATATTGTAAAGGCCGTCTGTTAGTCTTGTTATTACTTTGATTAAGAGCCTGCACATCCACATAATAAGGATATCGTGATTGCTTTTCGACAAATTTATTCGGTGTTCTTCAGTGTCCAGTAGCGTCATATCGGGGTAGCGAAACATCGGGCACGCTGTGTTAAATTAGCGCTGGGTACGTTTCTCGGCCGATCCTGGTGAGCAGCTCACGCAGTGGACCCACAGTGAGTATGAGATCCACCTTACACTCGTGCCCGTAGTTATGACTATATATTCGGAAGATCAAGGAGTAGGCAATTTGCCACATTTCAATGGTATACTTTGCTGTATTTCGATTTGTATGAAATAAAAAATGTTTATTATTATTTCCCCGGAATGAATCGGACGCCCGTCATATTCTGCGTCAAAGTGATTTACTTGTCCGTAGAATGTAGAAAAGAGATTAAATACCTAACCGATTATTCGAATTTAAAAATACGAAGGAAAAATGAGTTATAAAATAGAGTTTATTTTAAATATCACGAAACTCAATTATTAAAAAAACATTTAAAGAAATCATCAATATACACATAGGTACAAATTTTTCCCTGGGTTGGGTGCGCAGACGCAATAAATTCAGTGGGGCCGCACACGATGGCTCTACATGACGTCACACCTCGCGTGATCGATGGCAAGAGCGAGCGAGACCACATCACACCATTATCCAACAAACCTACGAGCATGAGGGAGACCGAGCTCCAATAAATAATTTCATCTTAAATTATTTTAAATCCACTTAAACCAAGTACGTTGACTTCTTGTATTTTTGACTTATGTACTTACTGTTTGTGTTATCGAGCTGTCTTTTATTTGCTGAAAATTTTAATAACGAAATTACTTACTGGAATTTTTTTTAAAGATTGGTATAATCTGTCGAACATGAAAATGAAGCGATTTGATGATTTTTGCTGATTAATGTTAATAAATAATATAGACAAGTCTTTCTTAATTTTTTTTTAATTCGAGGACAGACTCAAAGGGAGGATGGGAGCTGAAGGGCAAGGAAGAACCTTGAGATTGAACATCAATGTCCGGGCATAACATTGTGGGAGAAACTAAAGCTGCGAGACTCCGCTGGCTCGGACACGTGGAGAGAATGGGAGGAGATCGTGTCGCGAAGAGGATTTATTCGGGACAACCGAAAGGACGCCGGACGACCTATCGGACGTCTCAGGTACCGCTTTCGCTGGGCGACGAAGTCCAAAAAGATCTCATGGACCTCGGTGCGAGTGGCTGGAAGGAGCAGGCTCAGAACCGGAAGGCGTGGCAGAATCTGGTGTCGGAGGCCAAGAAGACCACTTTGGGTCACTGCGCCACCGAAGTAAGTACTGTCTTAATTTTGCTCGGTATTATAAAAATGTTGGAAAGTAATTGTTTTGACATTTTGGAATATATTATAATAAGTAGAGGATATTGTTTTTAATTTTAATATAGGATATAATAATATCACAGGTCAGATTGGCCTATAAGATGGACTGTAGATGCGGTCCAAATTTTAGTGTGCTTGCTTACAACGATAGCAAAATGATATTGTAAAAACTCTGCGAAATAATAGTAGAAAAAATAAAGTTTAGTTATAATTTTCAAACACTCTATATCATTTTCTTATAAACGTTACAAACACAAGTAACTTACGAGTATGAGTTTATGAGCCAACAAAACATAAAAGGATTGCATTGAAAAGAATAAATCGATTATAGGTAAAGAAAAAGAGGAGAGTTGCGGCAGGGTGCGAGGAGGGACAGCTCGTGACACCTGACCGGAGCCATTTTAGTCCGTGAAATATGTTTATTTGTCATGGCTGCCCTTTGTTATTGAAATTGTGTTTGGCTTAACTCCCTCATTATATTGTTCGATTATACTCGACGGGAAACTCGTTTGTGCATGCTCTATGTGAGAATAGCTTTGGAGATTTTAGAATATTGATTATTGATACTGAGAAATGAGAAATAAATTTCAATTAACCGGCCATTGAGGGAGCTAGTGCGTTTACATGTCGGCCAGTGTGCGCGGGCGCAGTTATTTCTATGATTATCTCCTCAATCCGTGTAACAGTCGCGTAGCTTTATCAACGTAATAGTAAACATTATATCTTTAATCGTTTTATACTTATGTTTGTTTTCTATTCTCACTTTTGAGTTTTATTTATTGACATCGAGTAAAGTTGATAGCTTTGAAAACCCAATTTACTACCGATATTATTTTCTTTACAGCTGTAATTTAAAAATTCAACATATTTATCCATAAAAATTTAAAGCACATCGACACGCTGCCATCTCGAGTTCTTCATTGAGGTTGCAGTATCCCCAAAGAGCGATCAATCAAAACAAATTCACAAGTCATCGACTATTAAAAAACTCATTGTGTGCGTTGAGGATGCGTAAACTCAGACAAACATTGTCACCTAGCAACGAGTCGAATTCCAGACAAAGGATTGTACACAAAACGAGGATAACGACAATAGAATGGTGGGTGTATAATGTTAAATATTGAAGCAGGTTAAGGTGGAGCAGCCCATGGTGCGGCGTTTTCCCGGGAAACCACCCCGCGGCGCGCGCGCAGGCGACGTTCAGTCTCACACCGCGATACACACACAAAAAACACAATTCTCATTTTTTGTATAAACCTTATCTCATCTTTTATCAACCGTCCAGTATGATAAAGCACCAATAATGATGTTTCGTTTTGGGTCGATTTAACAAACGATATGCACGTATACAAAATGTGGTGACACTTTCTCTGAAATTTAAAACTAAGTTTGTAAGTCATATTAATATTTATTATTAGCAATATTAGTCGTGTATGGTATTTTTAATGTTCTATTTTTTGTACGCATCAGAATTTATGAATACTTGAGTTATGCGGGCACAAGTCATATCGATCTTGTAGCTGGCGCGCAGGTGCAAACATGCTAAGTGTATTCTTATTGTTGTAAGGGATTGGGTTATCTGTGACACTATCTCTGCTGTTCGACAAATGTTTTAGCTGTCAGAGATGTGACGTCAGCCAAATCGAGTGCGCCCGCGCCGCCCAGACTGCCGCGATCAAAGCGATATCACGCTTTTTTACTCTGTAAAGTAGTACCAAAGATATTCTCTTGGGCTATTTAAAAACGTGCATTTTATCTGTAAGCTTAAGAATAAACAATAACCAATTACGTATGTGTGTGTTATGTGTACGAATAGTGGGCATAACGACAATCAATGTATTATCAGTGTCTATGTGGTTATAGGTGTTGGCAGTAAATTTAGAAACGCGTTAGAATCAATGTAAATCAATAGTCTTCGGCCCAGGGGAGTCGTTCCATGCCGACTGCGGAGGTGGTGCTTTCCATGATATTGATAGTTGGTGATTATTGGACATTGCTATACTACCTGCATCTAATAGATAACTGGTCAGGCATTAAATATACATTACATTCACATTCTAGTTACTATTAAGTGTTTTAGTTTACCGGAGTTATTATATGCCATCGATATGTATCTAATCAATTTGCCAGTAATTATGCAAATCACTTACAAACTAGACAACTTTTATTGGTATTAAAAATGCAGTATCTACTTAAAAAGCTTAAAGTATTTTACCTCGAGGGTAATTAATTATTATAGAATGAATAAACTTGAAATGAATATTTGGAAATTTCGAATGGGTATCGTAAATCTATAAGTACACCTACAGAGCCCTTTACAAGACATAGGTAGGTAGTAAACTCTCACGAAACAGCTAATTAACGAACGAATGAAGATTTATGTGCCGCGTTGTCGATATAAAGCAACGCTCCCTTTATGAACTTCAAAACGTCCTAATTATTTTACTACGCGAGACGCGACAAAACGAGAAACTTAGAGACGCCCAAACGCTCCTGTGACAGAGAATTAATTGCGCGTGGTGACACATGCGCGGCGAGTGCGGCAAACCGCGAACAGAGCGGAAAGCGTGTTTAGTCTTCATTTACAAAAGTAGTAATAAGAAAATCGGCATAGCAATTGATATGAATACTTAAATTTGATATAGTTTGTTTGTCACTATTGTTTACACAAACACGAAACAGTTTACAATTAATTTGGATGTAATTACAAAAAGGGTTTGAAATTATTAAGATATTTATTTCTTTCATATTATTATCATGATAATTGTCCGATATACATCGGATAGTTATTCATGCTGACTCATGATTTATTGTCTTTAATTCTTAACTAAAACTGACAAACAATAAGAAAATGAAATAAACCAAGAAAAATCATTGGGAAAACGATTTGGTTTGTGACTTTTTCCGAAACTTTTTTGATATTTAACACCTTTGGATACGTCTTTGAAACAAACACATGGCATGACATTGCAAGCAGTAGTATTTTTAACCGACTTCAAGAAACGAGGAGGTTCTCAATTCAATTCTTTTTTTTGTATGTATGTTACGCGATAACTCCGGAACCGATTTTGATAATTCTTTTTTTGTTGGAAAGAGGGTATCTCAGTATTGGTCCCATTTAAATTTCAAGAAAATATTCCTCCTCTTAGGGTGGCAAACTAGGGGTTGAATACGGTTTCGCGTACTTTCCGGTAGGCGATTACGATAAAACTAGGCAAATAGATGTAATTCCACGAATTTTTGAGATCTGTTTTTTAGTACTCTGTACTGAGATTATGTTGATTTAATTCATTTTATGAATATCAAGATTATTATTATCAAGGTATATTTATCAACATATTATTTGTCGTGCTAATTATTAAGATAATTATCGATGGTAATTATTACCTCGACCCTGATTACAAGTGCTTTTTATTTCATGTTTTGTAGTTAGGTGGAAATAGATGTGATTTAGTGTTGTTTTCCCAAATTAAAAACATATTAGGAAAAGTATAGATAATATGTTAAACATTGGACTCAATCAGTGGTAGCATCAAATGCGACCTATTTTTAGCTCGGGTGAAAACATTAATCGTCACCGTCGGGCACGCGTCAACCGCGCTGTCCGTCCGTCGTCGACGTCGCCCGCGTGTGGCCACTGATACACAAAAAATTAAGTGACACCTCCCTTTGTTCAGACTGGACATACCTTTCAGCGAAATGCAATTAGTGTGATAGAAATAGAAATCGTCGATAGTCGGCCGACATCGCGGTGCGATTTCAAACGTTTGGTTCTCAGATCTATTTTCGAAATCAAATGATAGACCAAGACAAGAATATGCCAAATAAACAACATCAAATGACTTATTTATACGCATATCAGCGACATAGTAAAATGCCAGAACTGTCAGAGTAGAGGTATCTACTTACCAATTGGTTCTGGTATGCCGTGACTGCAGTGAATACGCATTCGGGAAATATGAACGTTTTGAATTCTTCTTGCTCCAAGTCAGTAATAGGTGCATTGATTGCCCCTTCTCGTCGCAGTACCAGATGTATCCGGGGTTGATACTTATGCATTGAATTTAGCACCAACTAGTGAAAAAAAAAACTAATTAGTACCTACTTATGGACTTTTCAAGTTTTCGCGATTGATGCACATAGGAAAAGAAACTATGTTTTTTGGGTCTGAAAAATCAAGTGTATTTGTTTTGCTAAACAAACCAGTATTTTAAGCCCTTTGCAGGTCCCATGGTCACGGCTGACTAATCAGCCAATATAATCGAACGTGACCAAGGGATCTGTAAATTTTTTATTTTTTTATTATTTCATTCATTTACAGTATTTAAATATTATTTCCAGAATAAATAGTGTTTTATAAGAAAATTGAGTGCTGACCTGTCCATTTTTATCCATCTCGTTGTTTGTGAGCTTGACTTTCTCAAAGGAGACGACCTGCTTGCGTAGTTGATCGCCAGAAAACGGCGAGTCGGGGTGCGGATATAGGCGCGCTGGCGCAGGCGGGTCGGCTTTGCCCGCTACCAGCCACGAAGAGCGGTGGTATGCGTAGCGATAGCGCTTGCCATCCACCGGGACCACGTCAAGTAGCACCGCATACCGCGCTTCCGCTCGGCACCCCGCGAACGATACTCGCACCGTCGGGAACATGCGCCTGACAATATAATATCTTATTTATATGGTCACTAGTATTACAAAATTACTTCCGTAATAATCTACATATCGCACTTACGTAAAATACAGGCTAAATTGCAAAAACAGTGAAAATGACTAAACAATGAAATTTATACACAAAAACAGACACATCGTGCATTCCTTGATTGTTCTATACAGAGCGCTAAATTTATTATAGTATAACTTAGTAAGGAAACTGGTGAATGTTTTTACGTATACAAGATCACTGATACTGGTGAAATTACAGGCACATGGACTTGTAAACTTATGACTCTGGGTGCAGTGGCAGTGCCCAGCAGAAATTTGCGATTTAAAGCTCTAACTGGCACTGCAACGGGACGGTCACTTGGTGTCATAAAAAAAATAGCTTTAAAAACAAAAAATAAATCTTAATAATATATTAATATAAATATATTAATACTGATTTTCTGTAAATTTTTGCAAAAGCAAGTTAAATCACAGTTTCACTGAAGGAGCGATATATGAACCGATTAAAATTATTTATTGTAAAAAACTTAAGGTTTCATAAAATAATGAAACTGCTTATTCTCGAACTTTTCATTTCCTCATAAGGCTGGTACCTCACCATTCTATTGTTATGTTAAAGCGTATATTTTCACATTAACGCAATTATTCGACAATTACTTGGTTGAGGTACAATTTTATCGCTGACTTTGACCGGCGCGAATCGTCTTTTGCTCATTAGAACTCAGGTTATCGCAAATTATCGCGAGTAATTAGCGCAATATGGTGCAGGCTTGGACGTATGTAAGTATTGTTACTTCAGCTTCGTACATGACGACGCGCATTTACGCGATTGCTTCAAGACTGAGAAAACTTGGAGGAAAAACTGTTGCAGGTACTTATACCTGAGTCCCTATTACCAAATTCACTGGTTACCATTTACTGTATAATGCAATTCCATATATGAACAAAAAAGTAGTACTATCACATAGGTATAAGGTATATCAGTTTGAAAAAAAATATATTCGCTTCAAAATGGCACTGCCTAAAGTGCTTCAATAGGTAAGTGTCTTGCCCCTACTTACGAGGGTCGAATGCTTATATGTACTCGCCCCTCTGTGAAGACATTGTTAGCGATAATAAATATTTAGAGTAAAAAAGTATTGTAATAAAACCTTCTGATATTAAACATCAATAAAGACGAAAATTGCTCCGCAACATTTTTAATGCCTGAAGGAAAAGTAAAGCGCAAGAACTGAGTCACTTCATACCATTTTAGCTCTTAACTATCTCTCCCCTTCCCCTTCTTAACGGTGACATTCTTTAGTGTCTCCCGTTGGAGAAAGATGAATGGGTAGACATTTTTGTAAAGGTGTATGTTTTTATTTACTGTCAGTGAAATGACTTGTGGTTGGCCGATGTAATAGCTCTTATTACACTTGACTATGTGACTGCGGTTTCCTGTTGTCGCTCATTTTTGAAGGGAACCTATACTTGAGTCATCTAATTAAACAAAATGTAAGTCAGTAAGCACGGGCATAAAAAGAAATAAGAACCAATGTATAATATAATAAAAACAACACACAAAAACTGATCGACGATAATAAACTCGTTGTGAGCAGAAAGGAGTGTCACAAAAACTGGCGTCGGTAGCAGGCGCGTGAAACACTATCTCCTAATCGACACAAAATGGTAGTCATTGAGGCGGCGAGAACGGAAACAACAAATCTTTAGCCGTAAGTTGAGACGCAACTATGCCTAGCGGCCTCTCACTTTGTGTCGGTGATGCCTGAAGCGGGCAAAGCCCGGGGGCAAGGCGTACTGTACTTGACAATTTGCTATCGAATCTTGCGCAACTGCACACGGAATGCGGCTTCTGACCTGTGATCTACGAACACTATCATAACAAACGTTATACGACCACCCAAGTAGTTTACAGATATTGTGCAGACGAATCGTAATTTACAATGAGATTTTGATTGGTTTGATTTCTATAAGAAATTTTATGCCTCGTGGGGCATAATAACTGAACTAACGCGATGCTCAGCAAACGCGATATAACGTTAGTTATGTTCATTCTAGCAATTTTACAAGATCGAGAGAGGACGAAAATAAGAATACCATTAATAAGATTTATGCACGCTTGGCCGTGGTCGCGCGCGTCGATTTGTGAGACGCCTCTTATAGCAATCACAACGTGCGATGCGCGAGCGGCGGTGCTGCAAGCGCACGGGCAATTGCGCGCGTGCGTTAATGGCGACACTCGCCGCACTGCGCGATATATTACTGCAATGATATATGGCCACCGACGTCGTCCATCATCCTACCACCCAAAAGTTAGTGGAAATTCAACAAAAACCAAAACGATATCGAGACAAACAGATGGCTCGCTTTAATAAGCAGATCCCGAAGACAGAAATACGAGGCGCCCGTTTACAACGGCTCGTTATTGTTATGACATTGTTAAAGAGCATGCCTATGACTGCAATCCAGACCTTTGTCACATATCAAAGCTACTCGGCGCGTAGAGCGTATGAATGAAAGGTCGTTTTAATATTGATTGTGAGATTCACTTAAAACTACTACATCTTTATATAAGCAAATCAGCAGAATCAAAACCCTTACAATTATAATAAAAAGCAACATCGCAAGTATTAATTGAAATTAGCGGTTTGGTTGTTAAACGAGCGCGAAGAGTTGCAACAGTGCGCACACGCATGTCGTCTTAATTAGAAAGGCATGAACCGAGGTGCGAACTCGTCAATCATTGTTTCACGCCACTGCCGTGCGACTGTTTGATAAATCTACTTTATGCGCTATTAGAAGTTTATCACGCGTGCATCCCTACAATCCTTGTAATTTCGAACAGCTAACTTGTAGCAAATTAAGGAAATACCCAGTAACCAAGTCATCAAAAAAACATTGGAGTACGCATATAAGTTTATGCATGCACTTACGTACATACGTCCCATACCTGTCAATGCTTTAGATTGTGTTATTAATTAGTAAACCAAATTAGTACGCAATTCGAGTCAATAAAATAGCACTTAGAGCGTTCGTTAGACGAGCGGTGTTAGTGCGATGACGCGATGGAAGCTCGGGCTGCATTAGCGCATGTTATCACGTGGTGATTAGGGCCCGTGGAGCGGCCAATCCGTGCATTCGCTTGTAATTACAGGAGCGCTATATTAATAGCAATTACATCCGCCGCCATAGTGCCGCCGCGATTTAATTAAGTCGATCCGTTGATTAGAGACAGATGGCGCTGGATTGCGTATTCCGCGATTGTTCATTAGCGAATTGCTCACTTTCGACGGTAAATGCTTTAGTGATGCCATAATCTAAGTGGTATAGTAATAGGACGTGCGACGATGGTTAGTTTTTATATAAGAGCCTATATAGGTTCCACTGTTGGGTACTGGCCTCCTCTTACAATGAGGACTTAGGCTGCAGTGGTTGAGAACTTCACACATATGACAATATGTTATGTGTGTAATGATCATTAAATTACTTTGCAGGTATGTGCAGGTGATTTCCTTCACCGAAAAGCTTAGGTACTTAAAATTTCCGAAAACTCAGAGGTGCAAGCCCGGACTCGAATCCATGACCTTCACCTTCTTGAAAGGCGGTAGGTAAATTCAAATTTAAAAAAAAATTAATTAAATAATTAAGAATTACATAAAATGAATTAAATTAAATATAAGGCACAATTTAGTAATATATAAATATAGTAATATTTTATACAAAATGAGTCTTCGATTAAAAAGTAGCGCGTATTCATACTGTTCTCACTCGTAAGAATAGACCAATGTCTTGTACGAATTTTGGCGAAAAAATCATGTATTCACGGCAAACATCTAATCTTATAATAAATAATATAATCTTTATAATATAAATCTTCACTTTCATACATTTCTCACAGGTGGCGCTATGGTAAAAAAGTCGTTAAAACCAAAAATAAAGATCTGTAACAAACGTATAGAAAAATGTGTAAGGTCAGTCCACTTCTATAGCTCAATTATTGGTAAAGAGGTCGCCATTAAAGCTTAGATGCAGGCTAGAATTCTGTCAGGTCGAAGGAATTTTTCTGTGTGATCGATCCTTGTATTAAAAATAAAGTGATCTCTTTCAAATACTGTTACCAAAATATATTTATATTGTGCTTTGTGCGTTGTTACCGGAGTTTCTTTTTTATTCGTTTTAACACAGACGAGAAAACCAACTGTGCGTTTAAAGAATTAGGATTTCAATATTATTTAGTGACATGTTATAATGTTGCTTATGGTAGGGTATATTATTCAGTGATGCAACATACCGTACAAGCTTGCCGTGTTCAATACTCCATTAAGGCGAATTAGTGCTAGTAGTGAACCTTAAGTGATTTTTGCCGCATAATGCCAGTGACAACAATCCGTGCCGGTGGCCAATGAATATTTCATATCACATAATAAGACCACTTACTGCCACTTAATTTTGTAGTTAAACTGCAAGCTTTCAATACGATACATAGTATAGCTCCAACACACTCTGTTAAAGAATTTTAAATTCTATTTCTATGTAAAAATACTCGAACTTATTATAAAAATACGTCAGGTTGTAAAATTGGAAGTCAGCTAATCAGAAAATACCATTAGCTTTAGAAACAATAAAATACGTCAAAGCGACAAAAATAGAAGTTAGCTGTAGTATTAAGTTTATTGAGTATCACGAATTTTTACTACAATGTTATTCAATTATTTTTTTGTGAAATTACTCTATTGATTTGTTTACAGACCTTTGCTTGGTGCACATCTTTGTTTTTGGATTTTTTTAAAGATTTGTTCGAAATCTTTGTTCACTCAATCAGTTACCCTTACAGCTACCAGCGGCTGACTAGAGATGCCGGTTTAATAATAATTATATTAAATTTATTGAATATCACGATGTTTTACTACCATAGGAGTCAGACACGGTATGCTGAAGGCGCCGGTTCGAATTTAGCCGGATCGAAGGAATGTTTCTAACTGTTCTTCATTG